GTTGATCTCAGGCACATTTGTCACTTCAGATTTCACCTTTAAACTGTTTTCCCATATACTCGTACACATATCCCTTATGCAGGTTCGTCGTATTTTGGATGGGAATGAAAATTACCACTGGCTGAACAGACTTTCCTTGTGTCTGTCCTCTGGGAAGCCTGCTATTCCTGTTTCTTTTGGTTCTGATCAAAACACAGTATGTATGTATAATCTTACTGCACATAAAGCATGCAAACACTGTTACACTTTTTGGAGTGGTATAGCACAATGTGAGAAGAACCTATACTTGCTGGCTGGGGCTAACTTGTATTCTGCTTGGCTCTATATGCTTTTAATACTGCCTAAGGGTAAACAAGACAAAAATGCTGGTCCAGACCACTAAAAAGGTTTGGTAGCATCTTTTTATTCTTTCCATTTGTGGCAAAGTTAGATCAGTGTTAGGAAGGCTGTTTTGAACAGTAAGACTATTTGGACTTGGAAAGAGAACTCCCAGGGAAGTTCTAGAGACTTTGTCATGGATGGTTTAAAGAAAAGTTTCAAAACCTGTCAAGATTCATGTAGAGATTGCAGTTGATCCTGTCTTAGAACAAAGGACAAGACCCAGTATCTTGTAAAGATAGCAAATACTTCTGTGTTGGGTGTGCAGAACCAAGGTGCACTTGTGAACTGGTGGTAACGAGTGCCCTTGCCTGCTGTGGAAGTAAGTTTTTAAAGCAAAGAACTGCCTTGGGAGCTCTGGCCCTGTCTTTGCAGTGAGGAATCTCATCTTGCATAGCCATCGACAGACCCATTGAGTAACTGAGCGATTACAAAGTCCTCTGTCCCCTGGCATAACATCCCCATTTCTGGCAAACAGCTGTTGAGAAACTTTCTGAGATGAAGATTGCACATGCACCATTGTGTTTAACAGCTACCAGTGTCTTTAGCCTCCAGGAATTTGTCAGAGCTCTTTCTGAAATCATTTCTGCTCTTGGCTTCAAACTGTACAATAGCCATGGGCTCCACAGCTTTGTTATACGAGGCAAGATTTGGTTTAGGCTGGCAGTTTCTCAGAGCATCCTCAGCTCGTGTCTTTTGAGAAATCTCAAGTAATCTCTCCCTTCCATGTCAGGCACAAGTCAACACATCTGTTAGGAAACTCCACTCTCAGCACACGGGGGCTGCAGGAGGAAAGCAGGGAAGGGTCTTGAGCTCAGTGGGAAGTTGATGCTGCTGCTTTTGCACAGGAGAGGAATACAGGCGTGTGGCTGCCCCTGGCTAAGCAGCAGTCAGCTGGAATATAGGGGCAGCCCTGTTCCTTAGTGTCTGCAAGAGGGGAAGCTGATAATTGAATGTTGCTCCTCCGTGGGGCAATGGTTCCTGCTAAGTCCTAGCCAGGGGTCCTAATTCAGCTTGCTGCTGAAATCAGTAGGATGGAACTGATCGGGAAAAAGCGGCCGGTGTGGCACCCGCCTGCCACGTGTTCTTCCCTCCCACTCAGGCTGGAGGCACCACCGGTGCTTCCCTTCCAGCTGGCAAGCCGGTGGCCTCATTGCGTCACTCATTCCCACTGCTTTTGGAGTTGTGTGTGTTTGAGGAACAACACTAGAGTCATCTCCCTGAGCCTGCTTGTCGAAACAGTTGGCAGCAGTCTCCCACTGGTCCTGCAGGGCTGGTGATCCCTGGTGCCAACACTCGGCTCCTTTGATGGGTGTGTTCTTTGCAGCTCACTGTACACATGCTGCGGCCCCAAAGGCTCCTCTGCCAGAGATGTGCATTTCACACCTGCTTTACTGCTACAGGAATAATACACCTTTGCTTTGTAAACGAACTGCTGTTTCTGTGATTAGAAACACTAGCACTCCGACTTCCCCAGCAATATAAGCAAGGCCCTCTAAAGGTTTGCTGCTTGTTCCTAGCAGCTGGAGATAGCACTGGGAGATCCTGCAAATTCTGCTTTTGATCTGAGCTGTTACTGCAGTGCAGCACATTGAATTTTGAATACAGAAATTACATGGAGTGGCCTGATCCTAGGTGAATTGCTGCTCTGTCTGGCAGCCTGTTTGCTGTCGTGGTTTTGTTACTGCTGGCAAAAAGATGCCTTTTGCAGGCAGTTGACTGGGTGGGGAAGGAAAGCATTGCAGCACTTGGTGTTCTCCCTATAAAAATGGCAACTTCCCATTCACTTAAATTTGCCCTAAGCACCTTTTTAAAATGTGGTTCAGTTTTCCTCTTTCTGAGTTTTAGCTGGCACTTATCATCTTGGTATGGTACTTAATCAGTCCCTGTCTGAATTGTCTGTAAGAATAATTGATGTTCCTGTCTCCAACAAGCTGAAAATTGTTTCCACCCAGCCTTTGACATATAAAGGGACTTTGTTTTCTGCAGTGGGTGTTCTTGTCTCCTAGGCAAATGACCCTGGCTGTAAGGCTTGCAGAATGGAGTGCAGCTGCAGACAGACACCTGCCCTTCCTCCTAGGCCAGGAGAGGTGTGGTGCCCTTTCTGGATTAAAGCTAAGGACTGTCTCCAGAGCTCATCCCATGCAGGCATTGTACATGTTGCAGGGGTGGGTTTTGCTCCAAACTGTTTGATCTTGTCTTTTCTGAGGGTGGTTTAAAGAATCCTGTTTGAGGAACACTTTCCAAATAATGCAGAATCTCACTTCAGGATGCAGCAGCCAGCGTATCCATACCTGGGCAGGTGAAATTCTTTGGGTACCAAAAGATCACCAGAGATCCAGACTGGTCACGCTGAACTTACTCGAACTTCAGCCCTTTCAATGGGAAGGTAATTAGTCTTCTGAACAAATGAGTCAGAAGTTCTTACTTCCACTTTCAAAAGCTTAAACTGGCCTAGTGCTGCTGACGTACCTTTGGTGAGTCTGAGTATTGCAACATCTTCCAAGTGGGTAGTGTGACTGGGAATCAAACTGCTGTGTGCAAGGTTGCAGCTACAAAATCTCTAGTGAGACCCAATATTTTGCTTTCTGAATTAAAAAAAAATAAAACCCCAACCTCTTTAGAAATCCAAACTGTTTCTGAGTCAACCATAGAAATGCCTGAGTCTGCATGGTGGACAAGACAACTGTCCACTTCTCATTTATCCTATTCATCTCAATGCAATGTTGTAGCCTAAAAATTATGCAGCACCCACGGGGGATGTTGACTTCTGTAGCACCATTCTTCACAAAGGCTGGTGAACAAAACACTCACTTCTCTTGTTCCATCCTCCCTGGATGCCCACCTTGTGTCTCTATGAAACCCTACAAACCAATTACTAGAATACCTCCCCAGCTTGAACTTTTCCTGAGTTTGACCTGCTCTCATATGCTCAGCATGCACAGTTGTGGAATTCTGTGAGAGCATAAGGACAGAGTCAGGTGGAGTAAGAAAAACAACTGTCCTGAAGGGTTAAGTCCTGATGGTGCTTTCCTTCTACCAAATGGAAAGGGGAATGTTGAGCAACCACTGCACTGAGGTGGTGAAGACAGCAGAGGGCTCTACTGCCAGATGTAATGCTGGATTGCTGCAAAGTCCACAGGATTTTACTCTCGAGGTATGCTCTCATTTTTGGTGAGCCAGCCCCAAGACAGGCTGTTGCCAGCAGCACAGGCCTCAGCATCTTACTTCACTTGTGGCAGTGGCTTAAGTTCAGGTTGCTCCTGTTCTCAGCTCTTCTACCGTTTATCAGGATATGGTGGTGTTTGGGAAATCTGTGGAAACCCATAGTGCATACTGCATCTTGTGGAAGGGCCAAGACTGTGCTGAGAAAGCAGTTTTTAACAGCACTTGGCTTCATTTGGAGAGCAACCCCCTCTTGGTGTTTTTGGTGGTGTCATAGTTCTCCCCAGCCTGACTGATAAATGAGCCTACCTGTAGTTGTGCTCATGCCTTTCCTCTAGGAAAAGCCTTCTGATTTTGAAGGAGTGCCAGGCTTGCTTGGATGGGGAAATCTCTTACATGACTTGCCTTGTCTGTCCAAGAATTTTGGCTGCCTCTGTTGGCATGATAGAGAAATGTGTTTGCTAGGCTTTTATACTTAAAGGGATAGAAATTTGCTGGTGTTTTACGCTTAAAAGGATGTAAGATTTCTTCAAAACCAGAGCACACAAACATATACATTCTCAGTCTGTTGCCTGGGACATTAGTCAGGCAACTCCTAATAAAGCTAAATCCTAGCAATACAAGATTAAAATACATCAGTCGAGGATAAATTGTCTTGCACAAAACAATCTTACTGTGCATAGGAAATGTGCCCTAAGCCCAGTACAATTCTTACTTGTCAAAGCCTTCAGGATACTTAATGGGTTAACGTCAAGAATGTCAAAGGGTTTTATTGTACTTGTTTTAATTATTTGGAAATTGCTCTTCCTGACTCGAGAGACGTCTGGGATTCTTACGTGGCAGTTTCTGCTTGATTTCAAAACGTCTGTCTGATGAGACGTGCGAGTGCCTGCGCTCTCTGTAATTTGTTTATAGCTACATCAGGGAACTGCTGGTGTGAAAACCCAGCGCGGGCTGGAGCGGAACTCTAGTTCGCACGCCTGCGGAACGGCGTACATGCACGTAGCAGAGCCGTGCTGTTCCCAGCCGCGGGGACAGTGGACACGGCTGGCCGCACTCCCCCGGCTGCCGGCGGGGCCAGGACCGCATTAACACATCTTCGCTTTGCAGCGCAGAGTCCCAGCCGGCGCGGTGCTGCCCGCGCAGGTCGCGGCCCCGGCGGGCTCCGCGCACCGGCAGCTCCGCGGGCGGGCCGCGCCCCCTCCCGGCCCGCGCGGCGCGGAGCGGAGCGGCCCCGCGGAGCCAAGGGAGGCGCGGCCGCCGCAGGGCGCCGTCCCATTGGCCGCCGGGCGCGCTGTTTTGCATATCCCCGCCCCCCAGGCATCCCCATTGGCTGGGAGCCGGCGGCGCTTTGCATGGCCCCGCCCCCGCGGCCGCTGGCCGGCGCTGCGCTGCGGTGCGGTGTCGGGCCGGCGGCGCAGTGCAGGAGCCGGAGCCGGAGCCGGGCCGGCAGCGGAGCTCGGCCGGGAGCAGCGCGCAGGCAGCACCGCAGCTTCGCTGCCGTCTGGCGGAGCGGGGCCAAGAGAAACGGCCGGCGGGAAACGCCGCGCCCCCTCGCTGCTTCTGTTCCCCCGCGTCCCCCTGAGCCGCTCCCCGCCTGGGTCCCGCGGGTGCAGCATGAAGTGCGGCGATGGCCCGGAGAGGTAAGACGGCGGTGAGGACGCTGGAAGACCTGACGCTGGACTCCGGGTATGGTGGTGCGGCGGACTCGGTGCGCTCCTCCAACTTGTCGCTGTGCTGCTCGGATTCGCACCCCGCGTACCCCTATGGAGGAAGCTGCTGGCCGCACCTAACTGACTCCATGCACAGTCGGCACAACAGCTTCGACACCGTCAACACCGTCCTAGCGGAAGACTCCGAGGTGCTGGACTGCGCGGGGCAGCAGTGCTCCCGGCTCCTGCCCGACCTTGAGGAGGTCCCCTGGAGCCTGGAGGAGGTGGAGGCACTGCTGCTGCCGCCGCCGCCGCGCCGGGAGCCGCGGGCGCCGGTCGCCGCCAGCCCCGGGAGCCGGGATGCGGCGGCGCGGCTCTCGACGCTGGTGAGCCGGGCGCTGGTGCGCATCGCTCGGGAGGCGCAGCGACTGAGCCTCCGCTTCGCCAAGTGCACCAAGCACGAGGTGCGGAGCGCCATGGAAATCGTCCTGGGCTGGACGCTGGCGGCCCGCTGCACGGCAGCCGCCCTCGGCGCTCTCTCCCTATACAACATGAGCGGCAGCGGCGGCGACCGCTTCAGCCGCGGAAAGTCGGCCCGGTGCGGACTGGCCTTCTCCGTGGGCAAGTTCTACCGCTGGATGGTGGACAGCCGCGTGGCCCTGCGCATCCACGAGCACGCCGCCATCTACCTCACCGCCGGCACCGAGAGCCTCTTCCGCGACATCCACGCGCGGGTGCTGGCCGGTCCCGCCGCCCCGCTCCCGCCGCCCGGCCGCCCCCCGGCCGCCGCCGCCGCCGCCCCGGCCGAGAAGGAGAAGGAGGGCGGAGAGGCGCCCCGCTTCACCCTGGAGGCGCTGGAACAGACGGTCAACAACGACCCCGAGCTCTGGGGCTTGCTGCAGCCCTACCAGCACCTCATCTGCGGAAAGAACGCCAGCGGTAAGTGCGGCCGCCGGGCGAGACCGGGCGCCACCGACCACCTGTTGCGCCGGGCGGGCCCCCGTCCGCCCCCCCGGGTGCTGGGCGGGCCCCCGCCGCACCTGCCGCCGGGCCCGGGGGGCCGGGGAGGGAGGAGCGGTGCGGCTGCCCCTGCACGGCGGTGTCCGGCCCGGGGAGGGCTGGACGGGAGCTGCCGAGCATCCCCCGAGCCGCTCTGCCGGGGCTGCCCGCCCTCCTGCCGCGGCGTGATGGGCGTGAATTGAGGGGCAGCTGGCTGGGTGTCGGCGAGGGCTGGCTGAGAGACAGTGGTTCAGAGCTTCAGTTTTCCACAGGAAATGGCAGAAGCGCAGCTGAGCGCTTGCAGGCGAGATCAAACTTTTGTTACATATGCAGTGGTTTGGCCAGCGATTGCGTGGTTGGCGCTGAAATGCAGTCTTTCTGGACAGATTTCATTCATGTTGCTGCATGTTTACCCAGAGCTTGACACAAATGCAACACCGTGATGCATCAACTTCCTGGTCATTTTTTCCCTTCGTTTTTTAAACGATGAATCTAATATTTTTTATAACTTATCCTTCGGTAGAGTGGCATTCCAAAGTTGATGTTCCTTATTTCAGCTCCCTCTGTTTGTTAGGGAAGGGAAAACGGAACGAGACGTGTTTCGGGGAGGCAGAGTTAAAATAGGGTGTTTTTTTCATATCTTCTCCTAAGCGTGCACAGACAGATACAAACATTTGTATTAAGCTTAAATTCAAAATACTTGTCAAGCTGAGATGCAAATATGGGGGGGGGGGGGGTTGAAGAGGAAGGGAACTGGGAGAACAGGGGTAACTGGAAGCCCAGATCACGTCTCCAGATAAGCCTTGTTAAGTTGTTATAGCCACAGAGGATGTGTTACAGCTAATTTTCTGTTGTCTTAAGGCACCTTCTATCCCATAAGAGACCCAAAGGAGGATGCCAAGTGGGAGCAAAAGAAAGGGGCAGATATTCCTCCCTGCTATAAACAGATGTTGCTTAGTTCTATTTCTCTGGTGGTTTTACTCCAGCAGTGGATGTCCTCCCCAGAGGCTTTGCTGAACCACCCCTCAAAATTCATGTTGCAGGACTCTGGTGCGTTATTCCAGTGCTGGTGCAGGCAGGCATGGCTTCCCCAGGAGAGCCACCGTTGTTTTTTTCCTCGAGTCCTGCTATGGTGTCTGTAGGTTTCAGATGGCACTGTGTTGCATTTCTGACATTGCAGCACTGGCTGTGCAGGCTTCTACTGAGCCTTTCATTTCGTTTTGCGGCTCTCTCTAACTCCCTCTGTATCAGCTCAGTGGATTTAAATCTACTTCATTCTGACCCTCATTTATCTCCCTTCTAGGGACACAAAACAGAGTTTTCATCTCCATTTTATTGTAGTTTTAGCTGCCACAAATCTCCTTGGTAGCTCAGTCTTGAGTTGAGCAAATAGCATTTTTCAAAGATGTTTGAATCAGACCCGTAGCAAGTTGTCCATTTTGTTTTGCCTCTCTGTGTCTCCCTGCTTTCTGTGCAAATGCCTGTAATGTAGTTTTGTTTTTTAGCATCTTATAATACATAGTTTGGCATCCTCTTAAATATATTTAGAGTTACAGGTGCAAGCAAGAGTCAGGCCTCCTTACAGTAAAAGCCATTTTTTACTGCTGTAAATATTTATTCAGATTTAATCCAAGGGTGTGTTGCCTGCTCTTAAGTACTTTCAAGGCAACTAAACCAGGCATTATAAACCATTAAACACATCAGTCTGTTTCTTCGCCAATGAGGTATGCCTGTTCATGTAGTTCTCATTGTTTTGGTGTCTTGAGTGCTCCATGTTTGGTTGCAAATGTTTCTTTCTCAGGCACTTAAAACAGGTGGGGAAGTCTGATGGGAGAGATTATTTGAAACTGCTTGAAATTGTTGGGGCACTCTGTGGCACAAAGCTTGGACTGCTGGAAGCTGCATCTCTATTTAGTGGCCTAACCACGAGTTCATCCTTCCTCTGCCTCAGTACTTGAAACACCATGATAGCACAGCTTAACAGGTAGCAGACTTCTCACATCTCTTTGCACTTCTCCAGGAGAAGAGACAGGTCTTGCACTCCAGAGGTTCAGTAAGCTGGGGTGTTATTTCCCAGCTGAGTGACATGTGAAGACACAAGCACTGGAATCAGTGGATTTGGTCCATCAGGTGTGGACAAGAAGCAGTGGAGGGGTCCTTTCTGGAGGTATCATGGGCAGTGTGATTTGAGTGAAGGTGGGGGATGGAAAGCAGTGCAGAAGCAGACTCTGTAGCAGCAGCTTAACTGCAGGCAGCTTTTTGTGGGGAGAGGGGCCTCTCTCTGGGAGGCAAATGTCAAAAATTTCCAGGCTAAATTCAGCACCTTAAAGTTCATCCAGACTGTGAAACAGGCAACTCGTGAAGGTCATAGGATGCAAGTATGTAAAGAACATAAGTTTGTGCATGATGCAGTCCAAGAGATTGCTCTAACGGAGTTTGTGAACATGAGTGTTGGGGAAGATGGTCTGAGGATCTGCAAGACACAAACCAGCCTTTCAGGGCTTCCCTGTAAGAGTGTTTAGTGGTTTTGGCTGAGGTTTTCTAGCCTGATGTCATTCTCAGTCATCTTGGAAGCTGTAGATCACTATTGCAACCTTCTCCTTCCTATAAATTATGGTCATGTGCCTTCAGACAAAGATGTTTGAGCCGATTCTTTCTATGGGCCATTTCCATTTTCTGCTGGGCTTCTTTTGGGTGTGTTTGGCCTGTGCTTGGACAGCTGCCTCAGTGGGAGCCCCACTCTCCAACAGGAGGCTGCTCATTGCTCTTGCAGGGTCGAAAGCCTGTGGATGAAGGTGGTGGCACTCCTTCATGTGTTGCAGGCAGCAGGCCACATGTCCTTGATAAGCTGGTTGATAACCTCTTGTGTGGGACAGGGCAGGGATGACAAAGGCAAAGCAGGCGATGCTGTCGGAGCATGGCAGCAGCTGCTGGCATATTGACTGAGCTTATCTTTCTGATAGCTGTATCAGAAGGAATAGACCTTAAAAGCATTCTGAGGTAGTAATTTCCACCCCCCACCCCCCCAGAATTTTGACATGATGGCTGAATGAGAATTATAAACTTTACGTTTGGGATTTCACTGAGGCTTAAATGTTTCAATTACGAGCTCTGTCTGAACAGCACAGTGCATGTTTCACATCCTATAACAGTTGCACAGAGTGTTATTTCCCTTGGAACAGTGGGAGAAAAATACTTTGTGCTCAATGAAAGGCAGTAAAAGCTGGCACCTCTGCGGTTTAAGCAGTATTATTTTAGTTTCTTTATTGCTCATCAAACCCTTACTTTTAGGCCACATCTGAGAAATGCTTTGAGATGAATAGGAAGTTTCCCCAGGTCTTGGATCAAGTGCAAATCATTTGAGTAAATCCTTGTATATTGTTTTAACTGGGGGGTTTGGATGGCAGGTCCAAGTAGCTCAAAGTCACCTACTTGGTATTATGGAGGTCCTCTTTCAGTGGGAGGAGGGATGGTATTAGACAGCACTTGAATTAATACAGAGTTAAGAAAATAGTTTTTTCCTGTTTCAGTCTTCGAGGGTCTCCGTGTCTTTGTGGCAGGACTTGTGGTGGCAGGGACACAGCCAGGGAGCTGGGGAATCATGGGGTGTTTTCTGTGGAGGAGTCAGCATGCACAGCTCTGCCTTGTCTATTTGTGTACAGCTTCTAAAAATAGTAATTTGGAACCCAAATGCCTCCCTGTGGTTTCTTCCTCTTCTTAATATTATTTAGAGAAGAAGATCAAACTAGTTAGAAACCCAGGATTAGGTCAGGCTTGGCTGACACGTGTCAGCTAACCTCAGTTTAACCTCAGCCTCTTCTAATTCAGGCGAACGAGGGGGACTCCAAGCAAATGAACAGTACCAATATATTAGCACAGCTTAACCAAATCAATAAGTGCTTTTAAATTTTGATATGTATGTATACATTCATGTGTGTATGCAGAGATCATACCTTCCTTTTACTGGCAAGCATGCTGTTATCTGTTACTTCTCTGCTTTTTGCTGTAATTGAACCATTCAGGATGCCATTATGGCCTTAGGGGCAGTGTAACAATCAATCTAGAACTTATTTCAGCTGGGATGATACTGGAATCTCTGGGCTTAAAATGGAATTTTGTGCTATTTTCTTGGCCTTATTTTAAACTGTAATTTCAAGAATATATCTCCCCCCCATCTCCCCATAAAGTTTCCATTGTGTTTTTTGCTGCTTAAAAAGAAAAAATGAAGTTGTAGTTGAAGTTTCTTATATGTGCCAATGTGTTATACTTAGACATCTTTGCTGTTTTGTTTTTCCCATCTGTTCCAGGGCACTTGAGTCCCATGCCAAGAGGTTGGCATGAGAGGTGGTGCAACAAATGATGTGTATTTTTGCTTGATTCTCTTACCTGACAACTTCCCAAGCAAACTTCCACACCCTCTTTGAACAAGTTGTATGTTTGTCCCCTCTCCATTCCAGGAGGGAGAGTGGGACAAACCCCCAAAGGGAAGAAGGTTTTGCCTGTTTGTGGGCACTGATGCTGGTGGGAGCTGGGATGGCAGCAGAGAAACCATGATCCTTCTCTGGGGTGGGGTGGGGTGGGTTGCTTTGGCACCTGGTATTGGCAGGAGTGGGACAGGAGGATAATCAGCATGTGTGTGCTTCTTGAAGACCTCTGTTGCCTTGAGAGGGCACCTTGAGAAAGGAGTAGTGGTGGGACTGGGAAATAGAGACCCATCGGGAGGTTGAGGTTTGACTGGCTGGGTGATGGTGGTTTGTTTCCCCTCTGGATGTTCTGATTCATGTAATCTGTTCCAGTTATGAGTCTAACATTAAAAAAAAAAAAAAAAAAAAAATCCCGGAAATGGTTATACCCGAAGCACCCAGGATAATCATAAAGCTTATGTTTGCCAATATGATTATTCTTTTTGTCATGTTGGAAAGTACCTTAATAACATTTAT